TATATATATATATATATATATATATATATATATATATATATATTATTCCAAAAGTTATTTTTTGGGGGTACACGTATTTGATTTGCGATCCCTGTTTTGTTTTGTTCTTTTTTGGGTTTTGTTTTTTGTTTTTTTCTTAAACCGTAAAATTGCTAACAACCAAGCTAGATTGAGTAGTTCTACCTCCGACAGAAATCGAAGTTGCATTCCATTTTGAATCAGTGAAACTGTTTCTATAGCCGAAACGATGCTAACAGATAATAATGCAACAATATTGTCATGTTATTAATTTTAGAATTTCCAAAAACTACTGTATTCCCACATATCAACGAATTAAAAAATATAAAAATATACAAAGAATACGTTAATCATTATATATTTATACTAACCGAATTATCCGCGCATTGTTGCGTGTCACACATTTTCCTTTTGTAAGAAAATGATGATTGATTTTAAATCATTGCTATAATTTGTGGAAAAAAATGATGCATTTCAGTATTGCTCAATGATCTTGCCGATGTGACCTCCATCTTCTGACTTTCTCCTTCTATATTTTGGATAGGAGTCATTCCCTTGTTCAAATTTAAACTTAATTTAAATCAAAAGGAAAAAAATGTAGTGGTGGGGGGTTGTGTCCCCGTGGATCCTCTTTGATCAAAATTAAATATATTTATCCAAGTACCCTAGGAGACATTCCCTTGTTCAAATTTAAATTTAATTTATATCAAAGAAAAAATGATTCAGTGGTGGAGTGCCCCATCAGGAACCCCCTTGATCAAAATGAAATATACTTATCCAAGTACCCTGGGTAATGTAGTTTCAGAATAATGAGGAAGATTTCGATAACAAACAAACAGATAGAAGCTACCAGTTCTTCAGACAATGCTACCATCGCCTGAAGATGTACAATCACAGTATTGAACCATGAAAGCTTTTGTATAGCGATTTCAACATGTTTTATTATAATCTCTTATAATAAAAATAATATATATATATATATATATATATATATATATATATATATATATATATATATATATATATATATATATATAGTGCTGTTCGATAAAAGTGACTCACTTGATTTTTTTTACTTAAAAATTTTTTCGCCTATTGTTTTTGACGTCAAACTAATTTTTAATCTTACTAATATAAAGACCCCTTTCCCGGCCACCTAGTAAAAAAGGTTAGTCACCCTAAGGTATTCTGTTGATAATTATAATTTTGGATATAAATGAGATTTAAGGAAAAACTCTATGCAAAAAAAGTGACTCACTTATTTCTTGCGACTAGTAATCAATAGAAACATAACCGAACAGCTTTAAATACAGAATAATAGAGGTATAATTTATTTATAACAGGTAACATATTTCGAAATATTTAATAATCTATGGGTCCTCCTTTATTTTGAATAACCTTTTCAACCCTCTTTGGCATTGACTTGATTAGGTTCTGGCAAATCTCATCTCCAAGCATTGAATTCCATTCGGATAAGAAATTCACAATCAAATCCTCTTTCTTGCTCAACTGTTTTCTCGAGAGCCTGTACTTTATAATGCTCCATAAGTTTTCTATGTGGTTGAGGTCAAGAGATTGGGGCGACCATGTCATAACACTCACCTGCTTCTCATCAAAGTATTCCTTCATCAATTTTGATTTGTGACAGGGAGCATTATCCTGCATAAAAATGAGCTTGGTGGGGTTCCATGAAAAGAAAAGCATCCCCAGAACATTATACTGAACGGATGCTTGACAGTACTTACTCCTAAATTCAAAGAGCTTTCAAAGCTTCTTCAGGTTTTTAGATCGCTTATCCTTTGAATTTAGCTCAACTTTCGTTTCATCGGAGAAGAGAAAATTTAGTAAAAAATCAGGTGAGTCACTTTTTATCGAACAGCACTATATATATATATATATATATATATATATATATATATATATATATATATATATATATATATATATATATATATATATATATATATATATATAAAGATTTATTTTTAATCACTTCAAACATTATTTTAATCGTATTTGTGTAGAGGACTCGCTTTTTAAACATTGTGTTTTACGTAAACGTGTTCTCCAACAAAGTACGAACTTACTTCCCACTTTGTAAGAGAAATTACTGTCTGATCCACTGTGTTTTAAACCGCTCGACCTCGGAGAACGTCACGCCCTAATAAAGTTCTATTTACCCTTTTAACGAATGCACACCCCTCATTCAGGTTTTCTCGGAAGCCCATATCTGCTCGGTTTCGTATAACCTAAACAAAGTAATTTCTAAAGAATTAATGGATTTATCTTTAATCCGACATTTTTATTACTTCTTTATTAAGTTTTATTCGAGTGAGCAGGCTGGTAGATATAATACATAATAATTATAATATATATAATATAAAACGGGGCGTTGTTTAAAATTTCTCCTATTTTTAAGGGAAGCGTGCTCAATATCTGAGACAGAATGTTTGTAGGTATAGAAAGTGTGAGGGTAGAACTATATGGTAGACAATATCTGAAAATCGCATTGATGGACTTCGCTCTACCTGTGGATATGCCCAGGGAGACAAGATCTCAAATGCTGATCTGTTTGCAAAATTGAAGGCATCAAGACCTTTATGATGCAATCTCAATTGCAATGGTTTGGTTATGTCATAATAATGGTACACAATCGAAAACCAACAGCCAGCTACACAGCTACAAAAGAAATGGAGGCATACCACGGCTCAGGTATGAAGGCAAGCTGAAGAGCATTCTTGAAGTTGCCGGGGTACCACATAAGGGTTTTTTTTATGGTCCTGGACCGAAAAGAATGTTGAGTGCGGCGTCCGTCGGTCTCAAGGCCCCATTTATCTGCGTCCATGTAGCACGTCTCTCCTCACCATGCCACCGATGTTGTCCAAGGCAAAGGCAAATACAGCTTGTTACCGGCGTGGTCAGAACGAAGTTAAAAATGACATCGAACTGTCTTAGGTAAAAAAAATTCAAAGTTGTCCTTCTCCTAGTCTACCTACAATCTGTCATACTACATCCCCTGATTGGAGGTTCGGAATTAAGAGTTTTTCCTTGTCACACAATGTTATAGAACCCACTCTGTCTATTTATCTTTCTCAGGGGTACTAGCACGTAAGAGAATATCGTGAACTCGATTGGAATTCGAACTTGGCTCTTCAATCCGAGCCGCAATCCATTACTCCACGAGTGGTGAGTATCCTGTTACCATGGCAATAAAGCATTAGGACTTAGACGCCTCCAACATCTAAGGAAGGCAAGAGCAAGGACTAAACAATCTGCATTAAGACCAGGAGCTTTGTCTCGTAACCCACTATCATCTACTCAATGCGGTCCTTTCTGTAAGATTCCTGAGGGGCTGAAGTGTCATATTTGATATAAACATCTATCGATTAACCTATGTGCTAGATACCCATGAGTCGAAACCAAGAGGAGAGTCCATGATAGATAGATAGAGAGAGAGAGAGAGACAGAGACAGAGACAGAGACAGAATTAATACAAGTAAAAGGTTTGTCACTTGGCTGATTGATGTTACCTTCAGCATCCCGACTCTAGAGTTTCGTAGACGGACACTCCGGGAATCACTCTGATTGATGTAAATTTTTCTAGCGTTACCTTTTATGCAACATTAGAGAAATCTGTTCTTACTCAGTTCTTCTTTGCTTGCGCAATCAACCCACAGTAGGTTCACAAGCATTAGAAAGATAAGCTTACGGCCATATCACGTTGAAACACTGACTCCCGTTCTATCACCGAAGTTAAGCAACGTCGACCATGGTCAATAACTAAATGGGAATACCAGCTGTTGTAAACTTGAATGTGCGTTTGGTGTAATGGATAACTGCTCGGGAGTGAAAATCAGAGAGCCGAGTTCCAATTCCAGCCGTCTTCGTTATATTCACTTACGTGCAAATACCATTAGGAAAGGTATGAGTCCATATCTTCTTCCCCCAGTTATGTGATAATTAGTAAGACTTGTATAAGTAAATCGTTATAATCTTAAAAATATTCTTACACTCTAAAATATTTTATGGCTTTAAATAACCTGCAAAGGCTGATAAGGCGTAAAAAACGAATCAATCAATCAATTTCTAAAAGCAATTCATAAGCTAGAAAAATTCGTTTCATGTGAACTCTAATTAGTCATAAGAAAAATAAATGTGATTTGAGGAAGAATGTTCTTATTTGTGTCTGAAGAGATTGAAAGGGAAGTTCTTTATTAGAAATCGCTGGAACCCGACATGCCATTTACATTGTGGCAAACCACCCACATTCCCCCCGTATTCCATCGGTGAGAAGTTCCACTCCAACATCTTTTTTTTTCCTGCGAATCGATGCTCTGTGGAACAGACTTCCAAGAGGATGTTTCCCTAATCACTATAATCTTAACCTGTTCAAGTCGAGTTAACCGTTTCTTCCCCTTCTATCCATATAAACTACCCATTAATGTAACCCTCTACCTCAAGTGACCCCCAGGCCTTGTACAAGGCGAAGCTTACTGTAAAGAAAACCTGGACAATTTTTATTGGGCAACACTATACGGACCGATTGATATCTCATGTCAGTTGTTTTTTGTTGGTTTTTTTTTTTTTTCATCTCTGGATCGCTTGTCCGCTTTTTCCACTGAACCAAAGTATATGACTTTTCTACACTACCCGATCCAGGGATTGAACTCGGGAAAGAAGATCTGTTTCAACCAAAGCTTTAATCCTCTATACCATGTATCAAGAGACACAGACTAATTTACTCGATAGAATTAACTGATACAAGATATCCCCGCAGGATAAAAAGTTCAGTTCAAAATTACATGTACGACAGACACCTGAAGAAGGCCAGAGACGACCATCGCCGAAACGTTGTCAGTATAACAACTAAGATGAGGATACTTGTCCGAATGAAAAGATACAATATTTATAAATCCTCGGCTAAAAATAATGTGCAATCAATCCACAATAGTAAATCTTTCACACGCTTTAAAAAGACCAGCTTACGGCCATATCACGCTGAAACATCGGTTCCCGTACGATTACTGAAGTTAAGCAATGTCGAACTTGGTCAGTACCACGATGGGTGACCGTTTGAGAATACCAGGAGCTGTAAGATTAAATGGTGTAATGGATAATGGCTTGGTATTGTTAATCGGAGAGCCGACCTCCAAATTCTGTTGGGTTCGTTATATTCACCTAAATGCAAATACTATTGGGAAAGGTATGAATCCACCTCTTCTCCATCAGCTATGGGTTAATTAGCAAGACTTGTATCACTAAACCATTATTATCTCCCCAACAAAACATTCTTACATTCTAAAAACTTTTTCTGGCTTTAAATAATCCGCCAACGATTGATAAGCCGTAGAAAACGAATCAATCAAAAACAAAAGATTAAAACATAAATTTTGCAGTTCCTAACTTTCTTTGAAATATATAAGGCCTATTCCAACAATTTTAAAACTGTTACTTAACACCATCACTATCATAATCATCGTCATCATTATAGGAGAAGGAATTACAGTTTTAATATTATTTCAATGAATATCATTATTACTATTATAACTTATATTATTTATCTAAGAAGTGAAAGTACCATGATACATACCTCGTATTAATCTGTTTCCAGCATATGTTGTAGCTTCAGTCTCTGAAGAACCCGATTAGCTATGTAAGGGTAAAATTGGTTCAAACTATAGCAACTTATTGTATCTTTTACACTGTGTAATCTCGGCCTTTCGCCTGAAAAGTGTGCCCCACTCTGAATCTTCAGGGCTTTCTATGGATATATTACACAACACTGGGACTTAATGTAGAATTAAAATAGATATTTTGAGACGTCTATTTTATTAATTCTGTTTCTTGCTGGTTGTGTGTAAAGGGATATGTATATCTACTCAGTGGATATCTATAGTATTAAAACAAAAAGGTTTTCAACAAAACTATGCAGAATGTAAACAAATATATAATAGGCTGGAATTGTTATGAAATATTTATTCCATAAAAAGGGATAAAAATAATAAAAGGTATGCCTTTCATCAACAACAGAATCCGAATTTAAATGTCTACAAAAAGTCTTACATACAGATCAGCTGAAGATGAGCAGTCTCCATTCAGAGTCTGTGGTTCTATGCAGAAACGATGGAAAACAGGGAATTTCTATTTGAATGTTATCGGCTGGCATGAAGTGGAAAGACTATATTGAATCCATTGCTAGGTCTGCAGCTAAGAACGTTGGTTTACTGTGTCGGGTGATACAGTTTTTCTCTCTAGAATCTATCTTAAATATCTATAAGTCTACCATTCCCCCATGCTTAGAATATTGCTGCCACATATGGTCCGGTGCTTCTGCTATTTACCTTGAACTCCTTGATAAAATCCAAAGAATCTGCAATATTATTGATCCTGATCTGGCGTCTCGGCTTTAGTCACTTTCCAACCGCAAGGTTGCCTCCCTATGCCTTTTCTATAAATATTGTTATGGTAATTGTTCGGATGAGCTCTTCACTATGGTACCTAGACCTTTTAAATTTAAGCGTAGTACTAGACAAGCGTCGAGGTGTCGTCAATTTACAGTTGAGTTGGTTAGACGTAACCGTAAATTCTATGTTAAGAGTTTCTTTTCTCGCACTTCTTGCTTGTAGAACTCCCTTCCAGCTCCGGGCTTTCCAGCCAACTTTAATCTCCAAACATTTAAATGCAATGTCAATCGCTATCTACTGTCCTTCTGATTACTCTTCCTTTGTTCTCGCTCCTTAGTAATGTTTTTTCCTCTAGTTCTTCCACACTCAGTAACCCCTTGTGTCTGAGTGCTTGAGGTGAACTCGATTTAAAAAAAAAAAAAAAAAAAAACACGGATTTTTAAAAGTGTCATTTCGACACTGTCTGCTACTACATATATATTCTACAGCCAAACATCTGTGTCGCCTGCGGCTGTTGTGACATAAACTCACATGTGTTAATAGAAAAAGATTCTTTATACAATGCGCAAATATACCGACAGAAAAAAAGATATGTGGTTACTAATGAGATTCTAAAGAATGATTAATATTTTTAATATCATGTCCTTCCAGGACGTAGGTGATTATGGCTCTCCACAGATTCCTTTTCTTTATTATCTGTGAATTAGCATAACTTCTTCAGAAAGGTAATGGAGTGCTTTCCCGTTTTTTTCTCTCCATGGATTCTTCATTTTTCTTCTCTTAGATTGGTTGTCATCCAAGATTAGAGAGGCTTCTCTACCCTGTCATTTAACCCATGGCTGGGGGGGTAGTAAGATTTGAAAATTCCAAAACTCTTAAGGTTTTTAAAGAGACTTCGAGTTGCAAGGTATAATGTTAAAGTGAACTCTTATTTTATGTCAATCTGGTTAGCTAAACCAAATCATTATCTATTTTTGTTTAAACGTATAAATTAAAGATGTAGCTGAAAATGTCCTGATCAGAAACTAAATATATGCATCTTTTTTTTTTCGTGAGAATTTTCATGAGGCTTTTTCGTTCTAGATCACTTTAAAAAATTGTAGTATGAACAATAACCTCCAGAGGGCCATAAACGCTAGCCTGTCGACAACTTTCAAGTCCTCAAAAAACAGTTCGGTGGTATTTATGTGTTTCATTGCTACACTGAAAATAAAAATGCAGTTAAAACCTTCTATTTACCCAGCAAAAAATATGGTTACTTGAAATCTTTTATGAAGTCCTACCAGATATTTAAGTTAAATATAACCCAAAAAGAGTTCATGATGGTGAGAAATTTTCAAATAACATTTCGAAAAATAAAGGACCAAAGGTTTCGTTTAAGCCTTCTACAGGAACTATCTTAAAATCCCTCCAATAGAACAGGTTTTCAGTTAGTTTTTTTTTTAATTCCAAAATACTCCCTTTATTTGAATATTTAGTCGCAAAATAACTTTTATACATTTCATCAGTAAAATAAAATAGTATTGATTTCCTTGAAATAAGACGATATTGCATGAAATATGCAACAAAAAAAATCGTGTGCAACTAGAATTTTAATACACGGTTACACTATACTATAATTATTAAATAAACAAATAAACCAGTTGATATCAATATCATGAATATATGGTATGTAATTTATACTTTGTTCAGTCACAAAATTAGAGTTCAGTTGTTACTGTTTGTCGGGACTAAAAAGCGTTATTTTTAATAACGATATCAACAAAAAATAAAACGATCTTATTTCACAAATACAAAATTAAATGGGTCCTATATTCTAAATATTTTAACAAAGCCAACGTCGTCCCAATACCTAATATAATTAATGACTGGAAAATTTGCATACAAATTACTTTTGCACAAACAGATAGATATTTAATAAGTTTTCACCAGCTCTTAAGGGAAGAAATAGAAAGGCAAAGAATGTAAGGGAAATAACTATGGTTGTTTCAAATGCGATTATCGTCAAAGTTATCTCTCTTGCAAGGAATGACGAATGAAAATTTGATAAAAGAAAAACAGAAAAATTAGAACACTACAATTTGGGTACCTTATTTTCGTGGACACAATGGTAGCAATTTTTTATTTGGAGCAGTCAGTCATTTGCGCTTAAATCAGCTGCTAGAAACTGCTATAAGGAAATACAAGACATCAAACTGAAATCACTAGTATACACTCTCAACTGAGCTAGATTTTTTTTAATGTCACTCTAACCTTGAGAAAATTAGTGTATCAGAACAAAATAACCAATGATGACAATAATAAGATTTTTTAGATATTTCTTCTTTAAATCGTTTTATAGTTGTTGTTGGATTGTTGTTGTTTTTTTAAATATCTACTTTTTAAATAAATGTTTTTCATAGAAAGTTATTTCAATATAATTTAACTAGGAATTATATTTACATATCTCCACAAATACAACTTTATATACATTAAGGTTTATTATAGTAATTAAGATAATTTTCAATCAAAATATTTTTTATAGATTTGTTACACCATACCAGGTCATCATGAAGCTTGTCAGGTTTAACAAAAGATAGGTTACTTAACTTGAATAATGCATCCACAACATACATTTCACTGGAATTGAGAAGACTAAATTTGACTTCAATCTCTGACAATGCTATTGATTGACTGAATTGTATCATTTCTCTAAAAACACTACTGCCATTAATTTTAAAAAATAAATCAGAAACCTTCAAATTTCATTTTTTTTTCTCCTAGAACATTAGCTTCTAAAACTTTTATATAAGTCTTTACATGCAGAAAAAGTCTATAGGTCTCATTCCCCCTCAAAAAATAAATATGGGTAAAAATCAAAACAAAATATGCTTACAGCATCGTGCTGTAATTGAACTAAAATAATGTTTATTGTATGAGAGGATCAGCTAGAAAATATGGAATGAGGAATCTTTAAAACTAAAGTTAGCATCCCCTCCCACTTTTAACATTTTATTTAAAAACTCTTTGTATTGTGGCAGCCTGTTTCTAATGGAGATATGCAACAAAAATCAATCTATATATTTATTTGTAAAATATGTTGCAATCCTGAAGGGATATTATTATTAATAAATAAAAATATAAAATAATAATAATAGATACCATAAATAAAATAAAATAAAACAAATAACATTAAAACTTTGTTTAAAATTTAAAAAAAACAATAAAACCAAAATAATAAAAGTTCTCCCAGCAAGCACAAAAAACTTTCCTGTCTGCAAAACAGATTCTTCGCACCTAAACACATCCAATTCACCCTCTTCACCATGGACCTTCAAAGAGTCAACACATCCATTTCCTCTCCTCAGTAACTTGCTTGTCATAAGGCAAAGTCATTTTCTTCCTCTATTACATACAACCTTAAAACACATGTAACTAAAATACACATACATCAGTACACAAAAATAAATAAAATTATATGATTTTAATTTACAATTTAACATGATTTTAGTGTTATTTCCTTGTATATTTTTATTTCTGTGAACACAAGGATATCCCTGCTGGTATGCTGTGAGTGACCCCACAATTTTTCTGTGTTTATTATAACAAAAACAAAAAGGAAAAGTCACTTACAGAAAATAGCAATTCAGTCACAATGGTTTTTTAGTGCATTTAGAATAGATGACCATTACTAATGAGATGTGACCATAAT